TTAATTTCTCAATAATTATTACGAAAATCGCAAAATGGTACAGAACTTTTCTTTTCAGTTTGACCCAATGTATCTCCACCTTTCGTTTGGTCACTTACTTGTCGGACAGCCTATATGTATATACAGGGTGTCCGGTAATAGACGGATTACCTCTCGTGTCCAGTTAGAATGGGTCAAACCAAGTAGAAAAGTCCGGTACCATTTTGCGATCTTCGCAATAATTAATGAAATATTAATTTAAATAGATCGGCCAATCCGCGCGAGTAGAAGCTCGTGGCGAAGCAGTGGGAAGGGCGTTCTTCAAAGGACAATAGCTATGTACGAGCGGCGCGTAACACTGAAGTCCTGCCGCTCATACATAGCCATCGTCCATTGAAGAACGCCCCTCCTCCTGCTTCGCTACGAGCTTCTACTCGCGCGGATTGGCCGATCTTTTTAAATTAATATTTCATTAATTATTGCGAAGATCGCAAAATAGTACAGGACTTTTCCATTTGGTTTGACCCGCTCTAACTGCACGCGAGAAGTGATCCGTCTATTACTGAGCACCCTGTATACAGGGTGTCTGATAATAATCGCCCCACCCATAATATGCAGGTAGAGCGGATTAAACCGAGTAGGAAAGTCCTCTACCGTTTTGCGATCTTCGCAATAATTAATGACCCAAAAGTAGGCGCGCGACAAAGTTTTGAGAGAAGTGCTCTACAAATGACAACAATTACATACGAGCGGTACATAACGATGAATTCTTGCGTCCTAGTAACCACATATCAATGCCGCCCATATCAGGCCGTCCTTTCTTACCGCACGGTAATACTCACGCGAATTGTGGCCGATCTTTCTTAATTAATTGAGAAATTAATACAGACACCCTGTATACATATAAAGGTGTGTTTTAGCTTTTGTCATAATGCAATAACTGTCTTGTTATCAAAGAAGGAAATATTGAAAGATACAACGCGGTTTTTTCTATCTCAACATAGTATTCAAAATAAAATTCTTGTACTTCCTCCCCTTGAAACTTATATATCATATTTTATCATATTATATCACATGTTTATTAATGCATTGGCTGGTTTGTCCTAAGGAGAGGGAACATTATCTATCATTATGTCAACTGCAATAATAATTTCACTATTTTTATCTTTCATTTTTTTTTTTTGATAAATTAATAGAAATTTTTGCAACAACTGAAAATTATCTTTTGCTATACTTGATGGATAACGATTTCACATTTTTATTATTTATACTTTTACTATTATATTTTTACTATAACACTTTCATGTTAACAAAAGTGCGATATGTGATTCTCTGATTGAAAAAAGATCTGCTTTACCTATTTAAAAATGATTAAAAGAAACAAAATCAGAGGGAAAAGGAAATGAAAAACTTTAAGATAATTATACGATTAATTCATGTAAAAACAAAATTTGTTAAGTCAACGATTATATAAATCGCAAACATATGTTTGTTATAAGAAGGAATTAAACAATTCCTGATTTCTGCTTGTGCTGATTTCTATGTAAATGTTTTTTTTTAAATAGTCTATTACAAAATATATTTTAAACTAACAACTTTAATATACGCGTGTGTTATTTTGCGATGAGAAATCTCTTTTCGTACAACAACAAGAAATAACTTTGCGCGCGGTGTAGAATATCATCAGGAATTCGAATCGATCATTAATGCGTCGTCGAACGGAGTCCTCTTACGCGGCCGTTCTTCTCGTATAACGCAAGCGCGTGATAATAATCCATCCAACGCCGTACGTGTTGCGGATGTCATATCAGCACGACTAATTCGCGATTTTATGGAACAAATGCTTCCTCGTCGTCTGCGGTTGTATTACTTATCGCATATCGTTCTTATACCTTTCGCTCAAGATATAAATTGTACGCTCGTATGATTGATCTAATTCCACTGCACACTCACATATAGATAAAGCACTTGCTATACAGGGTGTCCCAGAATTAGACCGATAAACTTCAGGTGATTATAAAGGACACCAAAACAAGCCATATTTATCAATAAACCCGTGTCCGCAAATGAGCCATTTTGGCACTAGAGAATAAAAGCTTAACAAGAACAAAAATCTTTAATAAAAATTATTTTTTCAAAATTTTATTAATGTGGTTAAATACAGGTGTTTTTACCATGAAACTTTTATATAAAACATTTTTTAATATCTCGAATAATTTTCGACTGCTTTATATATGAGGAGTGATTTTACCCCTTAGAATCGTTTTTAGGCCGGAATTGGAAATTTCTAAATTCGTCTATTTATTCCCCTCCCTACATATGTATAAAATTTCATCAAAATCAGATTTCTTGGGTTTGCGAGATTCCTTTTGTTAGTCTTTGATTCTTTAGTCTCTAGGGCCAAAACGGCTTATTTACGGACACGAGTTTATTGGCAAAATTGGCTTGTTTTGGAATCCTTTATAACCATCTGAAGTTTGTCGGTCTAATACTGGGACACCCTGTATACATGAAACAATAAAAAAGCTCTTCCGGAAGAATAGCCCCCTTGCTTTGACGTGACGATGAGAAATTTATTATCGAGCGCAGCTAGTGCAAAATTGATTAATTTTTTACAAAATCACAAACACGTTCTCGATGTAGATATAAAACAAGTTAATTATTTATAGTAAATTGCTTTAGATATATTTATGTGTCACTGTTTCCTATAAAATATTGTATTTCCTGAAAACTTGTTTAAACAGCTTACGTACACCGTAAGTAGATATTTGTTGCTCAAGTGCACTTTCGAGCACACCGATCGTTCAATTTCATTTCGTAGAAAGGCTAAAGTACACCTGAGACGAGAGTCTGCAACGAAATCGTGTTCGCACAATGAGTTTCTTTATAACTATCGATTTATACAGAAAACTTGTGGAAATTTCCACGGAATTTAATGTACATTTTATATGAAAATATTTGTTTAATAAAATGTCACAGCTGCATTGATTTAAAAAAAATCGCGTGTCATTGTTTAAAACATTTTTACTTTTCGTGATACGCATATACATTGGCTGTACTTTTTTTTCTCCCGCTTATATATCTTTAAAAAGATATCTTTTTTTGCGGAAGGATAATAAAATGTCCCAGTGGTCGGACACGTCCCAATATCCGACCACATTGAAAAAATATATTTACTATTTATTTGAACAACTATGAATGAAAATAATAATTATTGTAAAAAAAACTCCCACATTTGATGATTAATTGGGAAAAAAAATAAACTGAATTTAAAATTTTTGTATTAAAAGAAATTGATTAAATAAGCATGTGTCTATGGTTAGGCAAAATGATGGCCGATCATTAACAAATTCGTTAAGCGTAAGCATCTAACTAATCGTATGAAAATTGGATATTTAATTACATTTGTGAATAAATAATTGAACATCTAATTTCAAAGATTAATTAGAAACTCACTTCGACGAAATTCATCATAAAAATCACAATTTAAACGATATTTTTGAGCGTCCGGAAGCTGGTAAATTAAAAGTACCAGTGGTCCCAATCGCCGGACGCATATGCAAATAATAAAAAAAGATAATAAAAAAAGAACAAAAAAGATTGTAAAAAATTAAAGAAATTGAAGAAAAGAAAACAGAGAAAGCTGAAAATGATACAAATAGAAGAAAAAATATTTTACGTAAACAAAAAAAGTCATTAAAAAAGTGTCAAGGAAAAATGAAACTTTATTTAACTAATTATATTATTATGTATTATTATTCGGTCTGTTATCTGCATGTTCACTGTTGTTAAGAAATTTAGCTTGTAAATTAAATACTCTGTTTTATGTTTCCCAGGTTATGCAACAAATTATTTTTATAATTTTTGACAAAAATAAAATATCATTAAGTATAAATACCAATTTAAATTAGAATTGTATTTTGTCATTAAATATCTATTTATATCAATATTTCTCGTCAGCATACTAGTTT